CATGTTTCCCACAAAACAAGACAGAGTCTTACTTTCTTTTGACACCCCCACCCCCCCCAAAAAAATTAGTGCATGGCCTTATTTTCTGGGAGGTCTTATTATTTTTGAGGTGCATGAGGCGGCGAGCATGGTCACCTCATGGCTGCCACTGTGTTGCAATATTTTTGGGGACGGCTTATTTCTGGGGGAGGGCTTAATTTAGCGCATGCGCTCTAAAGCCCAATCGGGCTTATTATCTGGGGAGGTCTTATTTTTGGGGAAACAAGGTAGTTTGGCTTAACTTTCTGAGTAAGCCATATGTAGTTTTACAAGGGGGGGGGAGGAGAAATTTACTTTTATTGTAAATAACACAATTAGATAATGGATTGGGGGGGGGGAATCCAACAAACTTGTTACAATTGGATTCCTGACATATTATTAAACTCTACAGAAATATGGAATTGCTACAGAATTTTGGACAAACTAGAAGTAAAGCAGAGCTGAGAGGAAAAATATGGCTAACACACTGAATCCCAGAGTTTAGGGTTATGGAAAAAGATACATACCTTTCCTGTTGTCTGGCCATACAAACCAAACATTTCTCGTAACCTCTCTTCACTGATGGCTTCTGGTCTGTCAATCTTGTTGCCAAGAATTAGGATAGGCACGTTAGCAATAGTTTCATCTGTCATTAATGCCTAAGAAGAAAGGAAGAAATGTATATTTTAGGTTTCATACAACCAGTACAAAATAGAAGGACATAAAACACAAGGAGAAACTTCTGAAGACCTTCTGAAGCTGTTCTAGACAGTATCTATACTAACTGACTGCCAGATCTCTTGAACATTAAAATAAGAAAGAAGAGTCAGATATCGGTATACAAAATGGCTTCTTCCATGTGATTCTACTTCATAACATTAAATAAGGATCAAATATGGATATATAATAAAGGCCCACCAATGGATTCCTATCTTAAAATGTTAGAATAGTATCAACCAAACTAAGATTGATTCATCAGAAATTGTATTCAGGGTACATTAGATATCCCCGCCCCCTCAAATATATTTGAAAGGATGGACAATATTGGACATCAGATTTTCTAAGCTGGAGGTGTTGAAGTTTACTAACTCATGATATGGTCATGTGACCTTTAATATCATTTTAACTTCATTCAGATTATAACATAGTGGCTTGTATATTATAACAAGTGGCAACTATATTAAAATTATGATAGGGTAATTAGTTAGCAATTGCAATTAAGATTTGGGGATTGGGATGAATTGTTGCTAATATTCCTTTTCTAGAAATATTCACTTCATTTGAATAAAAATAATTTCTTTTAAAGTCTATTTATGTTATGAAAAATATAATGCTCCTTGATATTTTCCTACAATGGCTTGCAAAGAGATGAAAAATTGACCTCACAATGCATATTACTTTCCAGTAATACTACCATATAAGAAACATGGTTTCTCTAGAATATGGGGTCCCTCAACCCTGGTCATGGATCGGCACCAGTCCACAGCATGCCAGCAACTGGGCCACGCAAAGAAGCAAAGCCCCATTTGTGAAATGCAGGCAGCACGCAAAACTATGCCCCCGTGGAAAAACATATCTCCACAGAACAGGTCCCTGGTGCCCAAAACATTGGGGGCCACTGCACTAGAACATAGATGTAGAATATACATTATGGGTCTTGAACATCTTCTGTTGACCAAAGACATCCTTTGATAGGGAGAAGCAGCCTACTTAAGGACACAATTCTGATTGGGCAAATTGTGGACCTCCTGGTTTGTGACTTTTGATAGTCCTGACTTTACTAACCCAGATTTAAGGAAAAGTAAAGGATAATAGAAACTGGTCTTTCCCACAATGACACAACAGACCCACCCAAATGTTGTATCGTAAAAGCTTCCCCACCCAGACATTGCAATGTTGGGCTTTTCATCTGGATTTTAGCAAGTGCAGAATATATATAAACTCACATCAAGTTCTTGCTTAGCTTCAGCCAATCTTTCATGATCCGCACAGTCCACTAGAAAGACAATGCCGTTGATGGCAGGCAGATAGTTTTTCCAAACCCTGCGAGCTAATAAAAGAGGGTTATAAAGAGACTGCAACGGGGAATTGCCTACGACTCTTGTTACTCTATTCATAGATGCTACAGGTAGTCCTTGACCTATGACCATAATAGGGACTTAGAATTTTCATTGCTAAGCAATTTGGTTGTTAAACGAGTCAGGCCAGATTTTACAACCTTTCCTGCCACAGTTGTTGAGCAAATCACTGTATTTGTTAAGTGATTCATGCGGTGAGAAGTGAGACTGACTTCTCCCACTGACTTTACTTGTCGGAAGCCAGCTAGGAAATTTACAACTGGTGATTACATGATCCCGGGACTGAGGCCATTGTAAATACATGCCAGTTGTCAAGCAATCAAATGTTGATCATATCACCATAGGGATGCGGTGATGGTCATACGTGTGAGAATCAGTTGTATGTCATTTTCAATGTCATAACTTTGAACCAAACAAATGAATGTAAGTCAACTAACTGACAGTAGCATTTCATTCAGTTAGATAAACTTTTTAAAAGGGCATTTGGATCTATGTGTGAAAAGGTTTTTGAAAGTGAATTTTTTTTGCACTGGGTTTAAAGCTGAAAACAGTATCATTTATATTGAGAAACACAGTTTCTTGTGAATTTATTGTTGAATTACCATGTAATATTAAGAGCTTTTAAAAAATTATTATACGTTGAAGTGGATTTTTAAAAAAATGTTTAATAAGTACAGGTAGTCCTTGACTTCTGACCACAATTGAGCCCAAAATTTCTATTGTTAAGTGAAACATTTGTTAAGTGAGCTTTGCCCCATTTTACGACCTTTCTTGCCACAGTTGTTAAGTGAATCACTGCAATTGTTAAGTTAGTAACCCGGTTGTTAAGTGAATCTGGCATCCCCACTGACTTTGCTTGTCAGAAAGCCGCAAAAGGGAATCATTTGACCTTGTTACACATCAACAGTCATAAATATGAACCAGTCGGCAAGCATCTGAATTTTGATCACATGATCATGGATGTAGAGGTTATACAAAGGTTACGTACAGGAATGCGCAGCAAACTGCCATGCGCCTTAGTAACCGATTATCTCAACTATCTATGAGCTAACCTAATTAGTAGAACCAGGCACTACCAGGGAGTTACGTGAGATTCTACCCTGGCTGGGATGGTCTTAGAGATTGACAAGGAAAATAAGCCAATAAGAGGCTGTTGCTACCTATGCTTTTGCTTTGCTTGTTGAAACTGTATAAAAGCCAAATAAACTCTGCAGAGGCAGACAGACATTTTGGACACCTGCTATGATAGATTTCTGAGTCCTACACATGGAGATGCTGCAAAGGTCATAACTGTAAAAAATGGTCATAAGTCACATTTTTCAGTACTGTTGTATCTTCGAATGGCCACTAAATGAATTGTTGTAAGTTGAGGATTACCTGTATTACTAAATCATCTTATTAAAAAGTTAAATAGCACAGCCTTTCAGGAGCAGCATTTCATGTACTCTAGAACAGTGTTTCCCAACCTTGGCAACTTGAAGATGTCCAGACTTCAACTCCCAGAATTCAGCATTCGCTGGCTGGGGAATTCTGGGAGTTGAAGTCCGGACATCTTCAAGTTGCCAAGGTTGGGAAACACTGCTCTAGAAAATACCATTTTGAAACCATTGGATAGCCAAAGTCGAAACTGATAAATATATAAATACGTAGCAAGAATGACAAGAGGACTTAGTTACTCTAATATTGAACAGCAGAACAAAGCCTTTAATAATTTGTCTTATTTCATATGTAATAAAAACCAAAGAAGGGCATAATTTTATCCTATTAAAATCATAAAACAATTCTAATCATATTTTCTGTTATTATTAGAAATAAAAATTAATCACCAAAATTTGACTGGAAAATGTAACAGTGAAGGTGCATTGATACAACATTTAAGTTGCCTTCACCCATGCAAAGGATACAAAGGATTACCCTTCGTATGTGCATTTATTATGAGGGGGGGAAAGCATCAGAACGATGTCTACACAACAAATTTAAAATCAAATACAATATTAAAAAGATTTTCAGAATAGGAAAAAAAAGTTGTAGTATTGGAACCTTGGAAAAGAAAGATTAAACTAACTACATTTAGATACTGCAGTGAGGATTCTGCCTGTTTGCTTCTCTTACCTTGAGCATGTCCTCCTAGATCAAAAGTTGTAAATGTCATTCCAGCAATTGTCAGCTCTTCAGAAGCTATAGAAACATGAAATTATTTTTTTTTAAAACAAGTGTTTTTCAGTAAATCCTCCCCTTAAATTTCTGAAAGCAGCTAAGTCCTGGGTTGGTTAATGGCCTATGTCATTACAGGGGCAAATCAGAGCCAATAGGGGGGAAAAAATAAATGACTGTTTCAACTCCTTCATCAAGTTATTAAGATTTGATTAATTTTGATTCTAATATAAAATTTACAGTTTGTACATTTGTACAGTTCATTTTTACTGTTGTAAGATATTTTTGAGTGCTTATATAAGAAATGACGGCAAACATTTAATAAACCTTTAGCTATTTGATTTCTTTCACACTTAAAATTTGTATTTGACATTGCCATAAATAAAAATAATGTTTATTATCAGCAATGAAAAGAGAGAGAAAAAGAGAGAGAGGGAGGGAGGGAGAGAGAGATAAAGAAAGAAAGAAAGAAAGAAAGAAAGAAANGTCATTTGTGACCAGAAGTCATATAAGCAGTCAGTCAGGGAGTTGGATTATTTACCGACCCCACGATTTATTTAATAACTGCAGTGTTTTGCTTAATAGCCATGGCAAAAATGGTAACAAAATTGGGTGTGACCTACTTAACAACTGTCTTGCTTAGTAACAGAAGTTCTGTTCCTAATTGTGCTTGTTAAGTCGAAGGCTACCTCTTATTTCTTTTACCTCTGCAAAATAGCAAACCTTCCATTTCATGTCAGTTTGGTTAGTGGTTGGCATCTTGAGTTGCTGTATTTGCTTGCAATGTTATACAGCAAGGATCCACTTAACGTTGAAAGTCTTCCAACGTTTGTGATTGAATTCCAGAGCAAAAGATGAGAAATAATCAGTTGTTATTTACAATTTTGTATTTGGACGACAAATTGCTGTCATATCTGATCCAGCGTGGTTTTTACTGTTTTGCACCTTTTTTATTTAAGAGATACCCATTATAAATATTAAAATTAAAATTAAATCTAAGAAGGACAAATTTAAAAATGTAGAGTTGGAAAACTTGCCAGATTCACTATGGCAGAGGAGAGATCCAGTTAATAGTGTTGGCTATCATTCTACAAATTATTTTATGTTGTATCCAAAAGACTTGATCCACACATTATTTTGCTCTAGGAGGCGGCTTCCTTACAGGAACACATGAGAACATAAGGACACATTAAAATAAGCTGTATGAACTCAAGTCCTACATTAACACCAACAGGGTAACAAAAAGATTGAGATGGCTACACAAGATCAAATACTGAAAGAACTATTCTATTCTATTCTGTTCTATTCTGCCCTTCTTTTATAGATCTGAAAGTGTTACATTTAAAATGAAGATTCAAGGAAGATAACATTTCCAGATACCAGCAGGGGCAAACCATTTTTCTAATTCCTTTGCAACAACTAAAATCAAGATGCTAGTTCCTGCCAATACTAATCATTCTATTTTTATGAAATGTCTTGAAAAAGATGTCTTCAGGTTCTAAAAGCATTTTGAATGAAAGGGGAGAAAAAGTAAAATGTTTGCTTTGATCTACAGAAGAGATCAACAGCAAGCAGGATGAGAGTTACAGGCAGTATAAACAAATTGATTTAATGGTCCTTTATTAGAACCAAAGATCTGGTGTGTGTGGGGGAGTTTAGTATCTTCCCAAAATATAATTGCCTTCTTAAAGTTAACTATATATTTGAACAAATTTTAAATGTTGTATTTAGATGCAAGGTAGATCACATCTGGGACAGAAACATTGCTAAGTAATGGGGTTAAGTGAGTTTAGAGTCTTTTTTTGTCATGTTCATTAAGTGACTCACCATAGTCTTTAAGCAAATCTGGGTTCCCCCATTGACTTTGTTCATCAGAAGCTCCCTAAATAATGATTATTTGACCTCCAGGATAGGGCAACAATTGTAAATACATGCTGGTTGAGAAACGCCTGAATGTTGATCATGTGAATATGGGAACTCTACAAGGGTTGTAAGTGCAAGAACTGGTTGTAAGTTACTTTTTTCAGTGCCATTGTACCTTTGAATGTTTGTTAAGTGAACGGTCATAAATTGAGGACTACCTGTATTGTACTAAAGCTCAGCAAGATACCATTGACCATATCAACTTTGTCCTTTACGCTCTCATTTCCAGTTTTTCTGAAAATGCATAAGGGTATATAGCAGAGGTGGGTTTCTACCAATTTGCACCGGTTTGGGTGAACTGATAGTGGTAATTTGGCCTTGGTCGCAGAACCGGAAGTGACCCAGGCTGGGCACGCTCCTGAACTGGTTCCCTGGTTGCCACTGCTGGCATTTTTAGTAGTTCTTCGCGCATGCACAGAACAATTTACAGTGAATTGCGAACCGGTACCAACACTGGTAGGAACCCACCCTTGGTATATACATCAGTGAAAAGCTTATTTCCTGATAATAAGTATATATAATAAAACTAATTGTAGTTCTTCAAAAGCCCTACATCCAGGGCTTTACACAAGGCAGTCTAACAACTCAAAACTACATGAGGCCTTCTTGTTACTCAAATCTACATGAGGCCTTCTCATCTTTCACTTTTAAATCTAGCATATGAATCTTAATCAGCAAAGGAAAGCAGTTTCAAATAGTGTCCATAGAGGGCTCTCTGTGCCATCTGAGCACTTGGCTTCTCAACTGAAAGAAATTACATGCAAGGGCACTAAGATTCTTAGAACAATTGATTGCTCTAAAGCAGGAGTGTCAAACTCAATTTTATTGAGGGCCGCATCAGGATTGTGTTTGACCTCAGTGGGATGGAGTGGCTGTAGCTAGGGTGGTGTGGCCAGCTTGGCATCACTCGTGTTAGGGGCGCCTGCAGTGGCCTGAGCACTCTGACAGCGAAAATGGCATTTTTGCTGGCAGAGGGTTGCAGGAGGCTGTCGCAGCCGAAAACAGAGCTCGCCAGAGCTGACAGAGGCACCATGGGCCAGTGCTTCTCTGTTTCCAGGCTGACCCTGCGGGCCAGATCTAAGCACCCCATGGACCAGATCCAGCCCCTGCACCTTGAGTTTCACACTCCTTCTCTAAGGGTATTTTTTCATTCCCTAAGTCCATATTTGGTGTTCCACATTTTAAATCAAAATATGAAACTTTGTGGCAATGCCACAAAGCCAAATTTTAAACAAAACCATGAAGTTGATACACAGCTCCTTCTCTGAACGACCACTTTCAGTTTCTTAACAGATATGCAGTTAAGAGAAAATAGAAAATAAAATTCCATCTCTATAGCCAAGGATGGCAACAAAGTACTGACCTGTTCTCTATATCATTTGAATGGCAATCAGTCACCTTTTGCAACCTTTGACAGGTTGCATGAATGCTGTGACAGGAAAGACAAATGCTCTGAGCAGTGGGTAAGTTACACCGTACTCAATCCAGTAACATAATTCACACAGGAACCAGGCTTCTAAATGTGTATTTGGAGGACCAACCCAATGGTTTTCTAAAAAGCTGCACTCAGGCACCCACTAGCACTACATGATGCACTACACAATGAGACAGTAGTGCTCCTTTCTTTACAATGTAAAAAACAGTGACCGAACATTTACATCCACAAGCATGGATAACGTTAGTGTGATTCATTCCCAGCGTAAAGGTAATCGAATAAATAATATAAAAAGTCTAGAGTACATGGAAATTATACTGCATTTTAGAAAACTATCCCACAGATTCACATTTTAAAACATATTCACTAGGTTAAGACACATTAAAATGAAACATGTCCCCATTAAAGATGTCACGAAATGGGATTTAGTTTTATTGCATGACGTTGCATAAGAAAGTATATTATTGAAAACTGTAAGGCATCATGCAATTATTCATAAAGCTTATTCATGACTATCCTTTGAGGAGTCGTTATTCACTTTACATTTATAAAATTGGTTCTGAAAAAAAGACTTAAAAATTTAACATGATGAGCATTAAATAGGACCAACAAGTCTGTGGGGCTGAGCTGTTAAAAAGTGCATTCAAAAAACATACTGTGTGGGAAAGCTAAAAAGAAAAATGGGTGAGAACTGCAGACAACATATAAGTTAATCCAAAAAGAAGGTGGCTTGATAGGCCTAGGGACTAATGTTACAAGATCCAAATTGACAAACTTGCTTAAAATCTGTTTTCAGTCTTTACGCTTAAAATTTAACACAATTGATACAATAAAAAAAATACGCTTTTGTAACCAAAATCTATTAAGTTCAAGTTATGTACACTGATTGATCAGAACATGAACAGGTTTGGATAGTGTGTAGTAATGTGAATTTGGCATTAATCAATGTATTGTGCCATCCAGCGAAATCCTTCCCCATAGCCTTGTCTCTTCAACACACTGCACATGAAAACTTCTAAGGGCCGAGTGTTCAATTCCTTCACTGAGACATTCCCCTGGAAATAAAAAAAAGAGGGTGCAGATTCAGTCAAGAATTCTTGATTTCTTTACAAGAAGGCAATGCCCATCAGTACTATTTGATAGTGCTGACCACCTTTAACTCTTGTAGCTTTTTAAATCTATTGTCCAACCACACTTGGCCACTTAAGAACATTCTATATTCTAGATATAACTATTCCTGGACAGAAGTACCATGTTTCCCACAAAACAAGACAGAGTCTTACTTTCTTTTGACACCCCCACCCCCCCAAAAAAAATAAGTGCTTGGCCTTATTTTCTGGGAGGTCTTATTATTTTTGAGGTGCATGAGGCGGCGAGCATGGTCACCTCATGGCTGCCACTGTGTTGCAATATTTTTGGGGA